ATGTATGGAATGCCCTACAAATTGTAAGTTACATTTCGTTGAACTCTCAAATGTTATTCTATATTTAAAACAATCTGTATTTGTTTTTTAGTTTGACTTGCTTCCTTTGGCAACTAGTACGAAAATAAACGGGTCACCATACATCTGTAACCTTCAAAGCTACAGCAACGCTTCACATCGCAAATGTGAATCACAACAACAATTCATTTTGGAAGGGAAAGGGCACATGACTGCAAGCAAAGTGAACAGAAGACATCAAGGCATCAAGGCCCCCCCCCCACCCCCCCTCAACCAGAGGAGAGGACTGGTGGGAGACCTGCCCCCTAAATACATAATGGTGATAATCATATCATAAGAATTAGAATTTAACCCAACCATGAAGGCATTTTGCATTCCACTTGCAGGACAGCCGGAACCATTTGGCCAAGCAAAAGTGGATAGGAGCTTCACAAACTGAAATAAGGGGAACTGGGAGGTAGTTTGACAAACCTGGGATGAAAAATGAGCAGTGGAGGGGGGAAAAAGAAATGAGGCATCCCTTAGGGTAGGCTCCATGTGCTCCCAGGTACAAAGAAGCATTATCATTAAAGTGGTCCATACGTTTATCCATAACAGTACATTAACTAAGAGCTTTAAATGTTTAAATGTGACTTGAGTTTTATTTAAAAGAATATCTCAGCAAAATCATTTTTCCTACAGGTCTCTAAAATTACTGTTAAACCTTGGTCTGCAATTATCAGAAACAAACAATCTTAAAAAAAAACACATAAATTTTCCTTTCAGTTAAAAAATGTTCAGCGTAGGTTAATTTCAAATTCCCTTTTACCAATCCTCATCTAATCATATCATTCTAAATCATGGAATGAAATGATAGAAATTGCAAGTCAACTTAGGTGGAAACAAATATGATGGTAACACCGACCTTAAAATTTAAATACAGCATTTACACAAATAATACAAAACTAAAACAACTTCTGTGCTGTATTAATTCTTAATCCTTTTGCTCTCATGAGTGACCAAGACAGAATTTCTCCTTACAACATCAATTATAAAGCAGAAGAGGGAGGAGAATAAGGAAAATTATTATCCAACTGTGCTTCGTAGAGTACAAATAACGTGCGAGACAAGTACAAATATCACACGATATTTGTACTCCAGAAATATCCATGAAATTTGCCTGCACTGAAATAACAATTTGGCATGTTGGATAATAAATCTCTCATTAGACGTTTTGTTGTGTAGTATCGCTGAGTATTTTTACTCGTTGTTTGTATTTTGACTTGCCCTATGGGCTCGTCAAAATACGGCACAACTCGTAAAAAATACTCAGCATTATTACACGACTTGGGCAGTCAGAGGGCCAATAACTAAAATCAACCAATCAAAATGCTCTATTGCCCGTCCAATACACTCTAAGTATTGGACCGGGCACTGTCCCGAATGGTACCGAATGATACCGCACTTGTGTCCCTTTGAACTTTAGTCGTATAATAAATCTCTTATTAACCAAGCTTGCTCGGGACCATACTGGAAGAATATCGGCCCTCGGTCTTTTTTGTACGGACCGAGTGCAGCGAGGTCCGTACTGTCAAGACCTCGGGCCAATATTCTCCCAGTACAGCCCTTGTGCTTGGTTAATAAGATATATATACTACACATCAAAACGTCTGATAAGATATATAAACCATTTAGGAGATCATTAGTTGATCCAATACAAAATTCTCCCCAGTTAAAAAAAAATCTTACCTAGTTAGAAAGAAATTACCTACCAGAAATATATTTATTTATTAACTAGTTAAAGAAAAAAAAAAAAATTTACTAAAAACAAAAATTACCTGCAACATGTACATTTAGCATTACATGCTTAAAAGAACAGCATATGTACACAAATTAAAATACATGCAGACAACTATGAGAATAAAATACATTTTGGTATCTACAGTTGATTTTTTTATCCTTCATATTGGATAACTGAGTTGAAAAAGAAAAGTTTCACCCTTGTGATATCCTTTAGACAGTTATTTCTTCCTTGAAAATGCCTTCTTTTGCTTTTCCTTCACAATATCATCTGGTGATGGACAGGAGAAGTCAAAAGGGGCAATGTAAGAGAGATCTGAATTGTAAAGCTGCTTAACAACTCTTTGAGCCGCGACATTATGGGCAGAGGAGTCAGTTGCTGCTTTACAAGCTGAACAGCACATTGTCAGAGCAAACATGGTTGGTTTTGCTCTCAATAGAGACAGTCTTTTTTGTGTTTTACGTTGATGTCCTTCTACCGCCACATGCTTTTTCGTGCTTCTGCTGTTGTAAGTTTTCCCAGAATCTTTACTTGCACAGGTTGCTACATGTATTGGTTTGTTATTCTCACCATGCAGTGATTTTAACTGTCCTTGGTTCATAGGTGTGTCAGACAAGAAGGGCATCACAGCTGTTTTTAAGCATTTGTGTTCGATTGTCTGGTTGTAATTTTGATCCTTCTCCTGCTTGCTAATGCTGCTTGAATTGCCATGAATCTTTAAGTCGGTCAACTTGAGAGCCAAAGAATTTCCATTTACAGTACCAACATTTGATAGTGAACTCAATGAAAGGATTGTGCCCGGTGACTGAGACAGTTTTGTGGGTGCTGTGGCCATTCCACTTCCTGAAGAGTGTCCTACCTGTGACAAATTGCCATGTAGCATTGACAATGAAGGTCCCTGAGTAATAACTTTTCCTGATTCTGACTCTGATTTTGAAGTCTCAGCTAACTTGCTAAGGGGCATGGAAAACACAGAGCTTTTGGATGTAGAGTTAAGTAAAGATCCTTGGGGTGTTTGACCCTTGGGTGCATTTCCTCTCTGAGAGTGACTACAGAGAGGTGAGAGCAGAGAGCTGTTTGACGAAGAATGAGAAGGTCCAAATGAGCCTTTTTGGGAAGACAGCTGTGGCAAATTGTTCAAAGTCAGGGGAGGATTGTGCAAAGCACTGTTCAATGGCTCTGACAGAGATGATTTTCCTACTTGGCCTGAAAGACTGCTGAGAGGAACTGAAAGAAGATTTAAAGACGATGGCAATGCTTGTCCTGATGATGATGATGATGATGATGATAATGAGCCCTTCTGGGAGGATAACTGTGACAAAGTGTTTAAAGTTAAGGGAGGGTCGTGAGCACCATCCTTGACTGGCTTTGAAACTGATGACATTCCCAACTTCCCTGAAAGACTGCTCAGAGGGACTGACAAAAGAGATGGTGATGATGAAGATGTCACTGGCTGTGCCGACAACGGGGCTTGCTGAGAAGACAACAGTGACAGACTACCCAAGGTCAGGAAGGACTTGTTATTATCTGTGCTCTGTGACTCTGACAAAGATGGTGCTCCTCCTAAGCCAGAAAGATGACTGAGGGGAAGCGAAAGAAGAGATGTCACTGGTTGTACAGATAATGACCCTCCTAAGTGAGACAAGCTACTGAGAGGGGCTGACAACAGAGCACTTTGAACTGGCATCTCCGATCCATCAATGGCTCTTGTTTCGTGTGACTGAGCAACTGCTGCCGATGTTAAAGAACCAACTGATTTTGTGTTTGAGTTTGGAGACAAAGATGCAGCTTCAGTTGGTTTGGGCAAAACACTGTCATGTGATGAAAAGCTGTCAGCAGATAATCCTTGGGCCAAAGTGTTTAAAGAGATTGCCATAGGAGAAATGCCTGACACATTTATTGCACATGATTTATTCACCAACGACTTTGTTTCTTGTGTTGTTTTGAGATTCTTTTTTCTATCAGTGGGCAAGTGCTTCGTAACAAGCTGTTTGCACAGTATATTTCGCTCATTCATTTTAACCTGTTTTTCTAAATGGGTTTGATATAGAACAGAGTCTTACCTTGTTAAAGCCACACAACAGTGAAGAACATCACACAGCTAAAAACATGGAAAAGAAGAACAAACAGGCAAAAAATTAGTTAATGAATTGTCCCCACAAATTTTGATTTTATTGAGCTATAATTTCAAACAACTTCTTGATGGTGGAGTTAAAAATTAGACGATTACTGGAGCATACTTCCTCTTTAACCCTTTGACCTCTTAAGAGTGGCCTGCATATCATTTCTCCTATAATATCACCCTTGAATCACACATCAAGGTCAGGAGAATAAAGTAAATGATCACAAACTAATTAAAACAAACTCTTGATTTTGAGCAAATTCTCCTTGTCAGTGCAATAAGAAATATATGGAGAATAGTATGGAGAATATGCATACTGATGTTAGGGTGTATTAACGTGTTGAGCTTGGGAAAATGCCAGAGATCAGGTCTTCATTTCTTAGTTAGTTCTTACTTTTACCTGATTGGTGTGAGGCCCAAGTTTGCTTGACTAATATTATCATAGGGCCAGATGAAGGACAACCAAAGTATCCCCCCCCCCACCCCACCCCAGCTTTACTTTTAACCCTCGAATGAAATTTGCTCTAAGTCATTGCAAAAATGTAAAAGCTCACCTTTACTTCCATGTGAATCATCCTTGACATCCTGTTTTTCCCCTGAAAAAAAAAAAAGATCAATCAATCAGCATTGACTGGTTTCAATGAAATACCAACAAATCATGCACTGAAATCAATGAAATTCCAGAACAAAAATACTGAAAAGATTATAGAAAAAATAACTGAAAACATAACTTTAAAAAAATCCCTGAAATAGCAGAAATCAACTAAATCAATGAAAGTAATGAAATCAATCAATTCATTTCATCAATTCTTTCAATACACATAGCACAATTCTCAAAACACTTTTAAATTAGTAAGACAAAAATCTAGTTATCTACCATGTTGAAAAGAAAATCTAGCTTGCAACATGATTAAACTGAAAATATATTTGACCAGTAACATGCAAAGTAGAACATACCACCACTAAGAATTTGATCCAATGCTCTCTCTATGTCAAAGTTGTTCTGTATAACTGCAGTCACCGCTGTGGGTTCATGTAAGTGCTCTCCAAGAATAGACTGCAGTTGATCCAGACAGGACAATAATTTTTCTGAAAATTCAGTGTAAGAGAATCAGATGTGACTAACAGTTTTTAATTAAAAAATAACACACATTTCTTTTTTTTGTCCCCGGATTTCATAAATTTCTTTAACATGTGACCCATACTGCCCAGGGGGCAATCCCATATAAAACCATAGTGAAAGCTGACATGTGTGGTGCCAGAGGGGTTGATGCAAGCCCGCCTGGAAAAAGCCATCTGGCCCTGCACTCACACAGCCTTGCAAAACATAAAGGAAAAAAGAAATGAGTAAAAAAAAGTCACAGTTTTTGATAAATTGTGAGTTACAGACTCAAGAAAACAAAGCAATACTTTACATTTTCTGGCGCTCAGTATACAATATTTTTTTCCAAATTCTTTTGCTTTATATGTTACAACTGTACCTTCACTTCTGGGATCCAACTGAGGTCTTCTATAGTCTTGTGATGTAGCAAGAGGCTCTTCATCAGACTCTTCTTCATCCTCCTCTTCAACGCAGTCAACTCTGTCAGCCATATATGCAGATAGATTCGGGTCCCGGCTATTGCTACGTCTGAACAAGAATTCCTCAGCTGAAGCAAGAACAATTCAAAGCAATGTTTCTAAGTGTCTGACTCAAATAAACAATACTTTTGCCATCAAAAACTAAATGTTCAATTGATAACAGATAACAGTTTCTAGTTGATATCCTCTTTGTTCTAATAACATGATTTAAAGGTAGATTTAAAGGTATTGAAATTAAAAGAAGTAACAAGTTGATCACTTCTGGTAGATACTGAGTTAAGACGATTTGACAAGGTAACACACCACAGCTAGTGAGTGTATTTCTTCTCATGATCTATTTGCCTAAGAAAGTTTTAGTACTTTACAAGGGTTTGCTTATAACTGAAGGCTGCCTAGCACCTTAAGTAATTGTATTGCAAAGAAGTGTAATCTTTCATACTCAATTAGAGCACACGATTCATTAACAGTGCCACGTTTTAACACACGATTTATGAAGGACTCTGTTGCGTATAGAGGCTCTGTGCTCTGGAATACCCTGACTTCCAAATATACTGATCTTGTTGATGCAAGCCATCATGAACTTGCCAAAAAACTCAAAACTTCAGAACTTTTTAAGGCTGTTAAATTCAATGTAGTATCAGCATCGACTGCTAGTTTTGAACTTGAAGATTTTGTATACATCTAAATGTAAATTGATTGTTTCAATGTCGCAATTATGACATTCAATACCCTTTAATTCTATTTAATGTTTAGCTGTATTTGATTTTAATTAAGTAGTATTTTATTGTACACGACCCTACAAGCTTTTAGTTTTCATACATATCATGTATAATTAACAACTATTCAACGAAGTGGAGGTGGTTGGTGGTGGATATTTACCAAGCTGCGAAGCGGCAAGGTAAATATCCACCGCTAACCACAGACACAGAGGTGAATAATTGTTTTAGTATATACTATAACAGTGAAATAATATACACCACCGTTGTTAATTTGAGTGATTGCTTCGCTTGTCATGGATGCAAACCAGGATGCCATTTTTTCCCTAGTTGCTTGGAGGTAAATAGCAAAGGATATTTGGAGTTTGACTAGCCAATCAGAGCGCACCTTCAACGCTATCCACTGTTTTAGTATATACTAAATAAAGATAACCAACCAACCAACCAACCAATCACTTCTGGAATTTAAGGGGTGAAAGAAGAAGAGACATGTCTATAACTCAAAATGATCTAGTGAAATCTGTATTAACTGAAGCTGATCTCATGTCAAATGGAAATCCATGTAAAATGGCCACAGACAAGAAACTTGAATCAAGAAACAACTTAAAAAGAAATTTCAATTTCCTTTTCATCTCAGTGTTAACCACTTTAAGTTTATTCTCTTTGATACAGGTTATGTCTTAGAGTGCTGATAAAAATATACAGTATACATAAACCTTACCAGTGTTTGGTGATACTGCTATGTCGTAATCCTCTACTGAATGACCATACACATCCTCAGACATGTCTTAAGTTGAATAGAGAATTGATGATAAAAAATAAAACAATATTGTCTTACTTCAGTTTACTTCTTCAAAACATAAACACCATCAAACAGCTAACAAATCATTGTGTGCATGTGGTGTTGAATTATACACTGTGACTGTGTTCGATTTCTCGTTTGATCTGATATTTTAAGCCAATTTGTATTTCTCCATATTGATCACTGCAAGTTCAGGGCTATGAACCTATAATTTAAGACTAGAAGGATAAATCAACCAAGAAAGTTGATACGATTTGACAATAGCCCGAGACTTATTACGAATACGAGATCTTCCACGCCGTCTGTGCAGGTTTTTTTTAAAGATGGATAGTCACGAAATATTCGAGGCTTATCAGGTGTAGCAAAATCGTACGTATGCATATATAATTAAGTATGGTGTGAAATTTACAGAGAGCTGGAGATCTTGGCGATAATTTTTGTAAAGTTCTCCGAATAAAAATCTGGTGAATTTACTTTATGTTGCATACATCTAAGCCAAAAGATTTGCTACGATCAGCACATGTTTCAAAAAGCCTAACATCTCTACTTTCTACGATTGAGCTTTAGAATGTAACCCAGACAAGATAACATTTGGTTTGAAGGAGTAATAATCAACATTTCCTGTACCGTCTTCATAGGCATAGTTTCTATAGTTTCTGTGTCTTGCCATCTTATTGATCTAGTTTCTTGAAGACGATCGGTCAATCACGTCGCAAAGCTCTTCAGAGATGATCCGCACAATGCGGAAAGCCGCGAAGACTTTCTCCTTATGAAGGTAGCCATATTGAAAAGGACGACTCAACCTCGATTTAAAGATTTTGAACCAGACCTCCACNTGCCCTAATCTGGACACAAATGATGCGGTTATACTCATCTCAGTTACACTATGCCTGATACAGAGCTGAACTGAATAACAGAATTCCTCAAGTCACTTACACGGAGAGTGCGTGGTTAAGACCTTAACCTTGAAGGAGATGTTAAAGATTTGTTCGATGAAAAAGAAAAATACAGAGGGGCAAACAATAAACCAAGCAGGAAAGACGATGACTAGTGATCGAGAAGACAAAAACAAAGAAAATTATCGATTTCTTCGAAACACCTTCACTAGGATTAGTTTAACTACTGTAATAGCGATACAGAAAAGTAACAACAAACCAAATGATACAGGCAGCCTGCTGCAACCCACAAAGCGTTCAAAACGATGGGGGGTGAAAATAAATGAAGTCACAGACGGAAAATATCAATAGAAGCAAATGGTGTTTACCCATTACTCTATATCTTTATTAAAAAATAATTTGCTTAATAGTGTGGCAGTAGGTTCCTTATTCATTTATAAAAAACGCCAATATGTAGTAAGGCCACCATTATGATAGACAATAAGGGGATAAAAAATCCCCGCTGCATATTTTCTTCACAATAATATATGATAGTAACCTCTTCTATAGGCTACAAGGAGTCCCTGCTCTTCGGCAAAGTACGTCGCGCGTTAAAAAAAGAAAAAATGTTAGCGTGCCGCTCGCAACTCTGGGAAAAAGAAAGGTGACTCATTCCCAGAGCTCCGGGCGGCTCGCTAATATCAATCTCTTCCTTTTTCCATTTTTTTTTACTTGCGCAAAGGAGTGAACGGACTGCTAAAAAGGAGGGACTTTTCGTAGTCTACCTCTTTGGAGCAAACCTTGTGCGAGAGCAAAGATTCAGAATATACAATAACCCTTCCTGGAAAAATAAAAGGACAAGGGAACTGGCATAAAACGAAAAAAAAAAAAAAAAATCAAACCAAAACAAACAAAATCAGATTTCCAACGTTGAAGATTAAGAGCTCTTGCACTCTGGCTTTCTTCATCCGCCATTACTCTAAATACCTCAGTTTCATCGCACTGTAATATACCAGCGAGTCAAGCAATCACTTTGACTACTATTTGAATATTCCATTATATTTTTGTTCAATATTCCAATCATTGTTAATTCATGCCGCACATCAAATTTGTCTAACTATAGCGTTTACGCACCTCTCGTAACCCCATGCACCAGTTCTCACGGAAAACTGTTGTGCACATACTTGACCCTTAATCTAATGCTTGAAAAAGAGTAAAAAACAGTTTTGTAATAAATAAGGCAGGTGAATAATGCAATAACGCTCAATTGTGTTCCATATTCTCAGCACCCCCTACCCCCAAAAAGGTGTAATTATCCCATACTCCCACCCCCCAAAAAGGTTAAATTAGACTCACTTGGATCGCTCAAATTAAAAGTCTGCGATCATTAATCATAATGTTCGACTCTACGGAACTCCCGTCCTTTGATTCTCCCATCAAACTACTCTATATCCCTTAGTAAGAATTTGGTGCCCTATGCAATAACCATGATTGCTAGCTGGTAACTTTGTCTATTCTCAGTACTTGTCTGCTAGATTATTTGTTGATATTGCATAGAGAATTCATCTAATAATCATCTTCGGGAGTTAAATAAGTCAGCTGTCGTTGGTCACACAGGTAGAGGCTAAAACGAACTGTGTGCTACTAATGTAAAAAAAATAAGTAAAAAAAAAAGAAAAAAAACCACAGAAACTATTTGGAATCCGCTTTTCGTCTTTATAACACGCACGCAGTCCACAGGAATGCGAATCGAAGAGAGAGAGAAGATAGAACAATAGGTAATAGATTCATCTCGTTCTCCTTTCGCATCGACACCAGCGCTCCACCTCCGCCCGCGTCATGAAAACGATTCAGGAAAAGTCGGATCATTCACCCATGGAAACGTGAAGGTAAAAATAGATCCTTTAACCCCATAAAAAAGGTTCAGTGTTGCTTGCTGTTAGTAACTCTGGGCATTAGACACCAAAAATACGGGGTGGGGACAACAGATCGCTGTCTTTCATAGCTCGCATGTCAACCTCCACGACGCGCCTCTCAAAACGTCTGTGAAAGGAAAAAGTTCAGGTCAGGAAACAAAAGTGAAATTTCGGCAAAAAATTAAATTAGAGCCACTGACGAGTGCAGGGTATCTAAAAGCCTAGACAATTACCGCATGCACTTAATTTAAGCGTGTGACAAAATCACGTGTAGTACGTGCAGAAGTGGTTAGGTTAAGAGTTGAGGGCTTGGTAACTAATCAACTCCAGGGCTTATCCCAGGTTCCACTGCATGAAGCAACAACAGTGTAGCTATATTGCCACTCCATCACGATACAGGACATGCCAGATCATTGTGTTTACCTTTAGTTGAGAAGTTATGCTAAAAAAAATTACCGGCTAAAAAAAAAAAAGAGAAAGAAAGAAAAGGAAGATGAATAAACTAACCTCTTCATCGTCGCAATCTTGAGTCCAGTGTCCAAAAACTGCAAGGGGTGTTCATAAGAAAATTGATTGATTTTCACCTTAAATTACAGGTAACACTTCTACTGGTGTTAAAGTTCACATTAGTTCATTACCCGAAGCCACTTTGCCTGTAACTTTTATCTTAACCGTCATATTGCTTGACCCTAAAATTACTTAATGGTATTCCATTTCCACATTGAGGGGGAGTTTCTTTATCCCGGGAGGAGTCTCCCAGGTTTTCCTTTTTGGAGGGGAGGGGAGGGGAGGGGTAGGTCCTCCATCACATTGTAGATGAAGTAAACGGCACCAAAAAATGTGTCACGTAAAAATAATGAAATGATGTAAACGCCTTTTGCATGGTGACTTGGCAAATTACCAATAGTTCATTTACGCAGTAGAACACACTTTCCATCGGTTTACCGGCGTAATAACCCGTGTGGAATGTTGAACACAAGAAAAGTTTGTAAATCACGAGCCAGAAGCCGTTCAATAAACGATACGTTTTTGACAATAGAAGGCGCCAGTAGTTTCTCAGTTATTTTATCGAATGCCAATCAATCAATAAAACAATCCGTCAACATTCAGCCAGTCAGTGTAGGCTACCTAACACACAGTCTTCCCTTTTGAGCAATTGTCACTATCTCAAGACAACACAAGATGCTTCTACCTTCACAGATGTCACAATACGGTCTGTCCTCATTTCTGTTTCCATGATACTGGGTTCCCAGGTTGTCAGGTGCATCTGAAGACTGCAGTGGGCAGTCATCCGTATCATGCTGATCGAAAACGTCACAAATGTCGCAGAACAACCGCTGCCTTATTCCCGGTCTCGCCGGCTCATCATCATCGGATCTGCACAAAATCCAAATAAAGACGTGAAAGGCTCCTTCGTTACCTTCATAAACCAAAGCTTCCAAGATCGAATACGTTATTCTCCCTACTACCTATTACACATTTCCATGGAAATTAGTTGAGAGAATACGGTCTGCCATCCTCCAACCGATGAAATAAAAGTTTCTGTTTCTCAACCCCTTTAATGCTGTATTTTATAGTTATATCGCACAAAAATTAAGTGAAAAGTAAGCGATACTGTACATTCCTAACAAATTTATTTTCTGACAGAAGCAAGGGTTGCATAAACAGTTTTGACAACTTACAAATTAAGGGTGCCGTTTGTGTCTGGAACATTTCCCATCATGAACAGCTCAATTTTCTTCTCTGCTTCTTCATTTTTCCTCTAAAATACAGAAAAATGGTCAGAGCTTCCGTCGATTGATACTTTATCAACTTAACTCAATGATTACCATCATCTTTAGATAAATATATCTCTTTTCCCTTAACAAAAATCGGCTTAAATTTGGTTTTACAGCCAGCCATTACAAAAACAAAAAAACAATAAACAAAAAAAAAAAACAACAAATCTCACCTGCAAGTCCACAATCACAGAATTTAAAAAGTCAACCTGTAAGAAGGAAACAAGGAAATTAACTTCAAAAACTAGCGGGGATTAGTCACGCGTTCAATCTTAAATAGATGGTTTGTTTTGCATTAAACAACAATAATAATAATAATAGTAATAATAATAATAATAATATTATTTTTATAGCGCGCACATCAAAGGCTTCTCGTGGCGCTTTACAATAATATAAAATAATAAAATAACCTAATGTACATAAATAAAACTCAATCAAACAGAAGAGAATTACTTTGAAAAGAGAAAAGTCTTCATATTCTTTTTAAAAATAGTTACGGAGCTAGATTTACGAACTGAAAAAGGAAAACCGTTCCACAACTTAGGTGCGCACACAGAAAAGCTCTGTGTGCGCACCTATGTTGGTGCGCACACAGATTGAGACGTAGACCTCTCACTGCCAACTAAGCGTTCTTGACCATGGAATTGATTGATTTTCCAGAAAAAAAAAAAAAAACGAGTTAAAAAAGAATAAGGACAGATATCTGAGTTATTTTTCTGTCTTTTTTTTCTCTGCTGTTATAATCAAACCGTATAATCGGATGCAATACTAGACATAATTCCATGTAAGACCTTATGGAGCTGTAAAAATAAGCTATGGGTTGCCAGCAGTCTCTTTTTGCGCTTAATATGGGCCGAGAACTTCAAGCGAGAAGGAGTTGGGATATAAGGAGATTGGGACGAGACTTGATACTCCTTGATCCAGCCCCCTCTGTTCAGAAATCCAATAAACGGTTGATTTCCCAGCAGACTCGTGCGTTTGCCTTCTCTCCATCTAAGTCAGACCGTAAGAGTAAAACAAAAAGCCATCAAGTGGTGTACATTAGTTACCTGTGCCTCTGAGTTTCCTTTTTCTGTTTGCACTGCTTCTAACAAGTCCTCTGTTTCTCTAAGCTTGCTCATCACTGCCTCCATATCAGAAGCTAAATGATAAAGAGTATATGTTGCTAAATGCATTAAAGCTTGAAGACTTGTATTACAAGACAATAGATGTCATAGTTAATTTGGATATATCAACAAAGTTGAAATGGAAAATTGGTCACCGTAACGATTACAAAAGCTGACGTTTCGAGCGTTAGCCCTTCGTCGGGGCGAATAGAGGAATTGTGGGTTGTGTGTGCTTTTAAAGGCAAAAAATGGAGCTACGTTATTGGTGGGAAATAACGTAGCTCCAATAACGTAGCTCCATTTTCTTCCTCTAAAAGCACACACACAATCGTAACGGTGGCCAATTTACCATTTCAACTTTGTTGATATATCCAAATTATTTCGTTACCGCCACCGACGCAGCCCCAAACAGTTTCTTTAGAAACTATCAGCCTGATCTCATAGTTAAGCCTACGTTATGCCAAGAAATTTCAATTCATTTTAAAATGTTGTACCATCAGGAGCAAGTTTTTAATTAAAAGAATTCGCCTCTTAAACTCACTCACACACCCTCAATAATATGCACGAAATGATGACTTGATAACATTCAGGAAAATGAGAAATGTTTACAAAGGTTACGCTGAACATTCAGTACTTCAGTAAAGCGTATAACGGTGTGTACCTCACATGCTAGAGACTTTCACCTCTCCAATAGCATCAACTCCCGAAAAAGTCTCTCTTTTAGGAGGGAGGGAGAGAATTTACAAATAAATGTCACCATTCATTGTGTTTATCACTCACCGTTGACAGACTGAGTGGATGTAGGATTGCTGAAGCTTTTCTCAAGTCTACTCTTTAGCATTTCATTCTAGAAGGTAATGATATATATATTTAATTTCACCGCCACAAATGCCTAGATACTTTCGATACTACATTTGAGCAGTACTAACATTTCAGGGATTATTCTAGAAATCGGCCAATGAGGAGTAAATGGGCCCCCTTCAGCAATTTTATGGGTTTTTTTTTCAAGAAACGGGGTCCAAAAATGGGGGTCACCCCTAAGGTATTCCAGCTTATTGGTACAGACTGTTTCATGACAAAATGAACGTTTATTCATTTACAGACTTGCAAGTACTGAACATAAGGTTCAATAATTTTGTTTCTTTCTGGCAACAAGTTTTAAGGAAAAAAGGTCTCTGTGACTCATGGCTTTTCTACTCTCCTGTTCTTTTTTCTGACATGCCATGAAAATCAAATTTGAAGTTATTCTTGGGTCTATCATTATTATTATTATTGTCGCAGAGAAATCAACTGAATGCTACATTCTAATCAGGCAGCACAGGGCGAAAACCGTAACCTGTGAGCCATGGAGTAAAAAATAAATGTACATTAACTAATCCTGAAAAGCTTTTCCGTTGAGTCTACGGTCGTATAATACTATTAGTATATAATATTATTAGTTAGTACTGCTCAAATGTATATTACCTTATTAACTTAGCTTCAATTCCTATAAAGTACCAACACTATTTACACGACTATCATCGCCTAAAACACTTACATGAATAACAGTGCTTTGTACAATAACCGAGATACAAGGAGTGCCCTGATTGGTCAAAAACCTAAGTTACATTGTACTGGTACACTCAGAAAATAGTATTTCTTGATTCAGTGGCTCCTGAGATTATTTTGGTTTTGGCTAAACAACACTCAACCGAAAGGCGTTAAAACTCTCACCTCTTTTCTGTAACTATTGACTTCTTCTTCTCTTTTCTTTGCTAGTAATTCCGCATTTTGTAACTTTATCTCCAATTCTTTCCTTACAGCATCTGCGGCATTTTTTGCATAATTTTCCCTGTAAAGAAAAAAAGAATAACAATTTACAAATATAAATAATTTGGATATAACAACAAAGTTGAAATGGTAAATTGGCCACCGTATCGATTACAAAAGCTAACGTTTCGAGCGTTAGCCCTTTCGCTCCGACGAAGGGCTAACGCTCGAAACGTCAGCTTTTGTAATCGTTACGGTGGCCAATTTACCATTTCAACTTTGTTGATATATCCAAATTATTTCGTTACTCCCACCGACGCAGCCCCAAACAGTTTCTTTCGAAACTATCAGCCTTTATTCATTTGT